CTGCGGCTTATCTGCAGAGCACTCTGCTGTCTCAGAAAATATAAATGGGTAATGGGCAGAACCTTTAAATGTTCTTTCGGCACAGTTAACAGTTCACGTGCATTTACTGCTGAAAAAACAAGACCATTTCAAGTTGAGTGACACATAATAGTATATTGTCACACTACTCTTTACAACACCTTTTCCTTTCAGTACAAATGACCACTCTTGCTGTTGCATGACTTCTTTTCTCATCGCTCTTTCCCTCCTAACTCTTTCTTTACTGCCTTCAATAAACTAAGGCTACAGAACGTCTCCTTACGATCGATCAGGTACAATCTTTAGGTAACTTTACCTTGTACCAATTTCCAGAGAATACAGTGGCCATCTGTTGGCACCAGTAACAACAATGTAACACGCCTCCCTCGATTTCTCTCTTTCGCCCTCTGCACCCACAGGGAACGCTGCTTGGGCCATGGCTACTTCCAAGCCTGATATCCTGATCATTCTTCTTCAGAAGCTGATGGAGGAGGGAAACATACTTTACAAGGTAGTGGCAAAGAAATCACTGTTATCACATCTGTACTTTCCTGTTTTAGTAAAATGTTTCATTTTACTAAACTGCCCAGCTGTACTTTAAGACACATAGTTTGTTATGTGGAAGTGAAAAAAAAGCACTGAATATAATTTTATTCAACAATGAAGTGGATACCATATTTTTCTAGCTCAGTTATTGCAGAAAATGAAATGAATAGATGTCTGTGTTCCACACCGCTTACCAAAGGAGCCATGATCGATGCATGACATTTAAAAGATTGAGTTTTATGGAAGGACAAACCTGTCAGGTGGTGTGTGTGTGTGCGTGTGTGTATTTGAGCTTGCCTGTGTGTTGTATATGTGATTGATGAGAAGGGAGGGCTCCAGCCCAGAGAACAGCTATTGTGGGAGGATCTGGTGAAGACCTTGCCCACCCCCCCACACATTTTCCTTCTGGTTCTGTCCTCTTCCTCACTGCATGTTTGCCCTCCATTTGTCCTCCAGAAAGGGAAGATGAAAGAGGCAGCTCAGAGGTACCAGTACGCCCTGAGGAAGTTTCCTAGAGAAGGCTTTGGCGATGACCTGAAGGCATTTAAAGACCTGAGGGTCTCTCTGTACCTCAATCTCTCCCGCTGTCGCAGAAAAACCAACGTAAGCCTCTCAAGAGACACTTTTTTTTCCTCCTTTGTTCCTTAGCCAGCGCTGTATTTTTAGCATGATCCTTTAACGACTTTAAATAAAGGCTTTTCACTCACCAGATTTATATTTGTCAGTGTAATGAATTTCAGGGGGCATCATTAAATGGATTTTTTTTCTTCTGGGAAGTATCCCCAATTGTTTTGAAATGTTATTGACTAAATGATAAATCTGTGACTAGGACTCCGGCATGTGAAATGATTTGAGCAAGTGTGGGCAGGGGAAGCCTAGTGTTCAGATGGTAACGGGGAGGTGGTGGGGAGAAAGTCGTACTGGGCAGCGGACTCATGGACTCGCTCTTCTCAAATCTTCTTGTGTTCCTGCATGTGTGTTAAACTAGCAGGCTGGCACTGCCAGTTTTACTGTGCCGAACAGTTTCCCGTTAACAGTTTTCACCCAGTGTTTTAACAGAATGATGAATTGAAATGACATGAGGAGAGCAGCCCTTTTTGGATAATTGTTTCTGCAGAAAAGCTCTTCATAAAAGTTTGTTTTCACAAGTCTTAGTGCAGTCAGGAGTCTAGCAGGAAGACATTTGTATGTGATTACATGCCGCGAGCTAGCAAGAGAGATGAGTGAAACAGTCACCACAAGGTTGTCTCTTGTGTGTTTCTACTGTAACAGCGCCTGGGGGTGCCGGCCAGGAATTTTATCACTTTATACACAGGGAGCAAAAGTGTTAGAGAGATGTAGCATAGGTCAAATTCAGCCATTACTAAGTTTGAAAATACTGTGTAATGTCCCCAAAGCAACAAATAAGATATAAGCAGCAACAAATGAAATATGTATACTGTATATTTTGAAATGTTAATTTCTGTGAATGATTCTGCTCCTTTTGTAGGATTTTGGGATGGCTGAGGAGTTTGCAACAAAAGCACTGGAGCTGAAACCCAAATCCTATGAGGCGTACTATGCCCGTGCAAGAGCTAAAAGAAGCAGCAGGTAAACTATTCAGCACAGCTCCAGGCCAGCTTATGTGGTTGTTATTGGTGGGGAATTATGTGATCTGAATCTGGCAACAATCTCTCTACATTCTCTCTCCCATCCACAGGCAGTTTGCGGCGGCCTTGGCAGACCTGCACGAAGCAGCCAAGCTGTGCCCCAATAACCGGGAAATCCGTCGTTTGCTGGCTCGAGTGGAGGAGGAGTGTAAACAGATGCAGCGTAACCAGACAAAAGGAGGCCTCGCCGGAGCTGCAGCTGCTTCCAGCCAGGCGTCAGGAGGCCACGAGTCCGACCAGGAGCAAGACGAAGGACAGGAGGACCATTCAGAGCACAGCCTTGCCAGGAGCTTGGAAGGACAAAGAGGCATCCTGGAAGAGGAAGAGGAAGAGGAAGAGGAGGAGGAGGCTTCGCTGCACGAAAGGACAACTGACACCTGCTGGTCACAGAACAGTTATTCCTACAACAGAGTTTTACCCTCTGAGCTTGCCAGTGGCAGTATGGGACATCAGAGTCCCGGCTCACCCCCAGGCCCTGGCAGGCTTCCCCCTCACCGTTATCCTCGAGAACAACGGGAGGCGCTGGCTCAACAGGGCCTGGTCCTGCAGCCCACCAAGCAAGCCCAGATAGTCAAGACCAACCAGCATATGAGCTCCATGCAGGCTGGGGGAGGGGCCGTGGGGGGCCGGCCAGCAGGGTCCAAATCTCAGTACGCTCCCTCTAGTCCCCTACCCAGCCGACACATGTCCAGTATGTTAAAGCCGGGCCCAGGAATCGACATCAGCCCTCTGCCGCCCCCAGCTGACGAGCCTGTATACGGGAACTGCATGTCGCTGACGGCTGCCTCCATCTCCATGGGTCACAGCTGTGAAATCGAGAGCCTCCATTCCTCCCAGCCTTCCTACTCATCCTGCAGCAGCTCCAAGGGTCTGGGCCAAGACAGGTTGTCTGCCCACTCTGCATCCTCCTTGGATGGGTTGGCCTGCTCCGGTTCTGGACCCCAGGGGAACCACACTGACCCAGGAAAAGAAGGGACGTGCGGTGCAGTAGGATCGCAGGGAGGAGGTGGCAGCAGCATGCGCGTGTCCAGTTCCACCAGCAGCCTGGCATCCAGCAGCAGTCTGTCAGACAGTGGCAAGCTGGGACCTGACGTCCGCACCAAGATCTCTGACAAAACAAAGCACAGCCAGCAACAGGCCAGCTCTGCAGCAGAGTACAAACCCAGACCCTTCATGGGCATAACGGACAAGAAAGCACGCTTTCAGCAACAGCTCCAACAGCAGCAGCAAATTCTACAACAGCAGCAGCACCACGGGGTCCAAAGTCACCAGAGCCTGCAGTCTGCCGGCCGCAGCTGGCTGAACCACTCGCCAGACGGTCTGGTGTGTCACAACATGTCAGCAATGGGCCTGCTGCCTGTCGACTGTGAGCTGCCTTACGCTAAAACAGTGAGCACTTACCAGGAGCTGCACAAACCTCCACCACCTCAGGGTGCTATGGCAATGAATAGCTTACAAAACGGCATGCACGCCATGGAATTCAAAGAGAAGTTCTGCCAAGCTGCCAACTGTTACAAAGAGTCCAAGCCTGCACTGGCTATGCCGCACAACTTCATGGACAGTAAGCCCAAGCAGCCTGGCCTAGCCCGAGATAATCCTGCCATTCACGTAGCTTCAATGAAACCAAAGCGATCGTTTATAGAGTCGAATGTGTAGAGATGTTAATTTCAACTCGCATACAATCCACAACGCACACAAGCAAAAATCTAAAGTGAAAAAGAGTTTTCATTTTTTAAACCAACTCCAAACAGAATACAGTCTCATTTTTTCAGCCTTGTAGGAAGTACAATATGCAAGTGGTTCATTTTCCTGTGTGAATACAGACTGTAGGCAGTGTACAGAATGCTCCAGATTTCTCTCCTCCCAACCTGTCGCTTGTGACTGTCAGCTTCTGTTACATGACAACGTCTGCCGTCATTCAGCCAAGCTGGAGACATTGCACTGAAGGAAGTATTTGGACATGTACTGTACAGTCCTCATCAACGCAACGGTGACAGTAAGCACTTTATACACTCTTAGGCCGCTCAAGTGCTTAAACAACATATTCAGTTACAGCATAACGTTATTATAGAACAGTTTTGAGTGAGTGAAATGGGATTTGAACTGTGTTCATTACATCCATGGTGCTGAGAGAGAAGAAATAAGGAAGAGAAAGTCCTCGGTAAAGGTATAAGAAAGTCGAAAGGATTGGCATTCCTGTGTTTTACGAAGGATGTTATAGATCCTTTTGTTGTGTATATTATATTAAATATGTACTTTTCCTTCTTTTCAGTGAAGGTCTATGTTAAGTGTATTGACAAGTTCAGACTTGTGTATTTTGAGTTTTATGCACAATGTTGTTCAAATGGTGTTCTAAAAAAACATTTGTTAAATGTGTTTGTACATTATATAAATCACCATTAACATTGAATTGAAATCCTTTCTGTATCTGCTTGTTGTTGCTGTCTAGTTTAATTTATTTACAGCGCCAATGGCTTGGTTAATTTTAAAAGCAATATATTTTATATAGTTATTTTTGCACAGCTACTAAGACATTTTATGATTCTCAATGATGTTGAGTTTAAGTGCATGCTACAATTGCAGTTTATATTACAGAGTAAAAAATCTATAAAAACAGAAATGGTTTGGGGGCACAGTGCCATCAGCTCTATTTTAATATGTACGTTAAATGCAATTGTTGCCATGTTTTCAGTATTGTGAGCTTTATTAGCTGTGATCACATACTGTAATAGAATATTACTGCCATAACCACCATGGGAGAAATAAAGACCCACTGAGGAAAAAACAAACAGCTCTGCTGATTTTTATTCTAAAACACAAGACTACTTGAGTTAAGAGGACATTTATTAATAACCTAAACAGAATTGTTAATATCATTCAGCTGTTTCAAAGGTAATGCAACAGATCAACAAAGCAAGATTAAACAGCAGTCACTGTGGCCACAAATGGAAATTACAGGACAATGGCACATTTAACTTCCATTCATTTCTGGCAAGGGAGGGTCTGTTTATTTTTGTTTTTACATACGAGATAAAAGCCTTGAAATAACTGTATTGCTCATTAACTCACTTGTCTCAGTTTATCCCAATAATTACAGAAGGCTTATGTAACTTTTGGCTGAAAAGCAGCCATCGTGACTATTATTCGAGTAGTAATAGGGCTGCAACTAACGATAATTTTCATTGTCGATGAATCTGTCAATCAATTAGTTGTTTAGTTTTTATAACTACAAACTGCATCTCAACCTACAACTCTGTTGTATGTATAAAATAAATTTACCTTGTAAAATGGCAGAAAAATTTGAAAAATGATGATCAGTGTTTCCCAAAGACCAAGAAGACGTCCTCAAATTGTTTTGTCCACAACCCAAAGAAATTCATAGAGGAGTAAAGAAACCTGGAAATATTTACATTTAAGAAGCTGGAATCAGATAATCTTTCTTAAAACAAATAATTCAAACCGATTAATCAAAAATAGTTGGCAATTAATTTAATAGTTGACAACTAATCGACTATTTGATTAATCGTTGCAGCTCTAAGTAGTAGATGCAAAAACAGTAGCAGTAGAAAACACTCAAAGTCAGCAAAGTAATCTCAGTTACACAGCAATATCTATCTTTGCTAACATTAGCCACCATAAGCTAGCTTTAGTCTGTTGAACAATGTTGCATTTAATTTCTTAATTCAGCGTTATTTGTAAGAGGAGGGAGGAATTATTTCTACATTAAAACATGCTGTATTTTGCTAAACAGAATTAGTTACTGGGTAAATATCCCTTGACTTCTCTGAGACATCCGATTCTGATGATTTTGTAGTACCCTGAACAAAACACTATCAATAGTAATGACTTCTCTCAGTCAGAAGAGCACTTGTTATCAGATGAGCAATTTCTGTTTAAAGATGAAGTACCTGTTTAGTCGGACTCTGACAAACAAGCTAAAATGAGCTGCTGCCTACTGGCTCGACTTCCAACGTGTTATTGCCAACTTCAGCGCTCTATTTAGGGTGAGGAGTGTGGTCTGGAGGGGCAGGTTCGTCATAGGACTGGTTTTGTTCTTGCCCCTGATCCAGCTCTCGATGGATTCTCGCTCATAGGAATACCCATCTGTGGGGTAGACACACATTTTGACACCTTCATATACGCTGAGATAATCATGGATGCAGGAAAGAAAAAAATAAATAAAAATGTGTACAGAATGAATCGTGGACTCTTTTTAGCATTTGTCATCTAACCTGCAGCAATGACTGGATCCTTCATCAGCTCTCTGGTGATTGGACACAGAAACTCATCCGGGGCCTCTGACCTGCTCTGTTCTGCCTTCAGGGCCTCGATTTTCCTGAGGAGACGACCGCGGAGGCCCACAGACTCTAAGAAACCAACACACTGTTCAGTACAACCGGTAAATTAAATCACATGCTGTGCTATTTCTTCTAACACTTGAAACTTAAGTGAAGCAAAGATTGTTTGAGTCCTAATCATCAAATGGCTTTGGTTGGCTTATGTGAAATAGTATCTTATGTTAATGTTATTCCACTAATGTTTTCCCCGTGAAAGTGAATCAGTGAGGCGACAGACACTCGACAAACGCAGGAATAAATCTGGACCTCAGCCCGTTGTGTAGTGATGGCTTCACAACTCAGGCAAGGAGACTCCCCCCTGAGGCGCTTGTGTGGGTTGTAGTTCAAAGTTAACATCTAATTATTTGGCTCCAGAATGAAAAACTCCACAAAAAAAAAAAAAAAAAAAAAAAGAGGGTAGAAAGAGGAAAACCACTCTGTACTAAATTTGACCACCAGCTTGAATGGAGGGAGGACCTTTACAGCCACACATGGCTAGTGATGCGTCTGTGTATAGTGGCAGTACCACAGAGGTGTCGGTCTTATATACAGACAGAGACAAAGTGAGAGTCAGCGAGAGCAGCTGCAGTGACATTTTCAGGCCTGCATTCTTAAATCCTGAATAGATTTTGACTCATATGTTGTTATAAGTTAATAACAACAGCAACAACAATAATAATGTCTTCAGTGCTTAGTTTTAACAATTATATTGCGCCAAGGGATGTTCTGTAAATATATCTAGCGTCATTCAAATAAACAAAACCACTCCTATTTCTATGAGACTGAATACATATACATATATATTATTGCAAGGTGTAAATTATCTAGTTTCAAACTGCAAGCTAGGTAATAAGAGGTTGCTAAATGCTAAAATTCTACCAAATTGTTTTTTTCCCGCAACACATTGTATCTTTTTCAAAAGGTGAGGAATTAACTGACTCAGTCACATTTAATGGTAGATAAATGCATGTAATGATTTCCTCCCACAATATCATTTAATTAAGTTTCAAAATGCTTTAAATTATTTGGACAGTTATATCGTCTCTATGTTTTATTTGCCATAATGGCGCTCTTTGTCCGTTTTTATAAAACGCATGTATTTTTCATGGCCTACGAAAAGCGACCCTGTTTTCAGCTTCGCGATTATGCATTTTTCAGATGATCTAAAGGGTTTTCAATGGTTTAATTAGCCTAGACCCAGGCTATAAGACCCAAAATTGAACGCTTGTTAAGTTTATATGAAGATTTGGACATGGCTCAATTCTGCACTTTGCCAGGAATAAACTTCTGGTGGGGAAATAATCCTTTATTTTATTCAGATATTGGCCTTAAAGTAGTCCAAACTGAATATTGAGTCTCGAAAATACTGGAATCAGCTTATATGTTGCTAAAAAAAACTAATCTCACAGACATGACCTCAGTGTCCTAAAACTACAGGCCTGGATGAAGGAATAAGAAAGAAAATGTTTCTGAGCTGCTTCAAGGTTCGTCATTGATTTACATGTGCCAAGGATGCTTAATAAACCATCTGGTTCTGGCTTAGAGTTAATGACTTTGGAAATGATGTCAAGAATGTCAGACCAGAAAGGATGATTTTTTGGAACGCATGATAAAATGATGGCTTCAAGTTGAGTCTGATGACAAAGTGGATTTAACACATATGGGCTAGATTTCTGGGTGGATCTTGTGTAGCTTTGTTTTGGAATAATTGAGTCTGTGTAATAGCTTGAATTGAATGAAACTCTAGCATTATTTGAACATATGTACTCCAACACGTCCTCCTAAATGTCATGATGTATAGAGTCACCATTAGAAATGTTACTAGGACACAGTCAGTCTCCAACAAACTGACAGAGATCGTCACAATCAGCTAAGGACTGGCTATTTCTCTCACAGCAGCAAATTACATGTTGTGAGTCCGTCGTCTTTTACAGAAAGTAAACATGGGGGGGAGAAGAGTATTCATGTGTACGTCGCAAAGACTGTGGGTACTTCTTAACCCTGGACTTTGTGTCCTGAAAATCCTGCATTCAAGTAAAACATTCGCAATCCCAAGTAAGCTGGATCCTGCGAAAAAAGCCATGTCTCTGTCTTGTCTCTGTGAAACACGCTAAACCCATTAAGTTCTCTGATTTAAGCAATAAACTACTCATAGATAGAAAAACTGCACTTAACAGCTCTATAGGGTTTAAGATTTCCATAAGTTCCCACATTTTTCACGGGGGGGCGGGGGGCTACAAGCTATTAGAAATCTACCGTCCACTTTACATTTAGATTGATAATTTGATGAGACGCTACAATAAAACTGCAGAATGAGGCTGTCTCTACAGAGATACACTGAATTATATCCGAGAGGAACTTTTTTCTCTCCTCCCTTTGCTCAAAGATTCATGAATATTTCATCAAGTAATGTGTGCTGGAATCTAATTTGCTGTGTGTGTGTGCGCGCGCGTGTTCTGTATGTGTGAGTAATTGTGTGTCTATATGTGCATTTACACAAACAGCATGCATGGAAAAGGACTGTTGTTAGTTGCCAAGAGTCCAAAAAGGACAAGAAATGTGGCAATCTGCTGTGTCCTCATTCTGGGGTAATGATCAGAACTGTCCTCCATACTAAACGCATGGAAAAAGAGACGCTCAGTCTATAGGACATGCTTTGCATAACTGAGCAAGAAGTTGGCTTCCCTGTTGTTTTTATACTTTGTCTACAGCTGTACAATTGAAGCAAACACTACAACAGCCAAAAGGGCGTTTTTACCATGATTAAGGGGGGGTGTCATGCAGCTAGTTACATAATTACAGTCGGCACACAATAACCCTAATCAGAGTAAAGAACGCTATTCTGTTCATTCATGCAGCATGTGAATTCCCTTCAAAACTGCGTGCGTAAATAAGGACTCGAGATTGTGCTTAGCTGATAACGCCTCGTGAATGACCAGGTGTACGTGCGGTTTTCTTAAGAGAGCGTATTTGCTTCTTTGCTGAGTTAGACGAGAAGATTGATACCACTCTCATGTCTGTGTGGTAAAAACGAAGCTGAAGCCAGCAGTTGGTTTGCTTAGCTTAGCATAAAAACTGCAAACAAGGGGAAACGTCGAGCCTAACTCCGTCGGAAAGTAACATAATGCCCCTACAAGCACCTCTGAAATTCATTAATTGATTCTGGTGGCCCCTGCAGACAAAAGTGGTAGTGTCGTAAAGATCTTAATCTGGCTAGCGTGTGCATTTGTTTTGGAATTATTATCAGCCTTCCGGTCAATGAGCCAAAAATTGTTTTGTCTGATTCCGTGGGGAGTCTGACCCAGTAAATATAAAATAATTATAGAGAAATAGCCAGACTTTTTGCTGATGGACTTGTTTGCTTATGTAGGTAATATAAAGACATCAGTATTAAAGTAAAACAGTTACATAACCTGCTGACTCCTTGAAGTACGCTTAGCACATTATATCTCATTTGTTTAATTCATCTAACAGTGTAAAAATGACTGTCTTTATGCTAAGCTAAGCTAACCATCACAGACAGATAGTGTATTTCCTAAAAAAGTGCCTTGGTGGCGATAATGGTGCCAACATTAGTTTGTAACTGCACGTTCGTGTTGCTGCTTATACACTGGTGTCTACAGCGTGTCCAGCCACTGCAGGGAGAAATCTTTTTTGTTTGTCTGGCTGCAGTTTGTACAGTGACTTTCCACACTGGGACCTTGGACGACCCTGAGTGGACTAATCTTATTTTCAGAGGGATTATGATTGTTTGTGACGTAAAGGTCATCCTGTGGGTTGCTGTCCTCAAACCACAGCATTATTTGTGATTGTATAAGCAGATAGAAATGCTCCCACGTCACCTCCCTAAATCAGATCACTGTTTGCGGAGAGTTGCTGTTGGGGGGTGGGGGTGGGGATAAACCAGAGCATCAATAAAAAGCGGCTTATATCATGCTATCCAATTCAAGCTTGTCATGTTTCAGGATCAAATGGTAAATATCCATGAAAACATTGAATCCCAGTGTCCCTGTGAGTGTGTGCGCACTGTACACTTATGTACGTGACTGTGTTTTATATTCCATCCTCACCAATTCCCAGCTCTGCGGCTGTTTCCTTGTTCAGCTGGCTGAGCTCTGGTCCGTCAATGTTGTTGGCTTTAAAGATGCTGATGAGCCCCTGCAGTCCTTCCTCACACAGCCAAGTCTGCACATCCTCCTCCGACCAATCAGCAACCAGCAGCCTGGAATGACCTGGCAACTTCCTTCCTGCAAAACACACAACAGGAAGGGAGGAAGTGCTCTGCTATTATACCCCCATCTCCTGCAACAACACTTATCTGATGCAAACAAACAATTTCCCTCACACGCCAAAGAAAAGGACACACTCCCTCAGTGTTGATACGGGAGTCACTATTACTTTTCCACACACACACACAAACATCCCTGATATACCATAGAAAAGAAAATTAAATCCAGGGTTGTGTTACTTCAGATTGTGCCAGCATGCACCTCATCAACCTTCACACAACACCATGTGAGTGAGCAGCCGTCATTTTGCATTCGAGGTCGATATGAACTGGCCTGTTGTGTGTCGGCCCCCGTTAATGACACCTCACTGCAGCCTCACTGTTCCCATCGCCCATCATTAGCCATGTGAAGGATAGCTCTGAAGACTGGGAGGCAGTGCTCATTACCACGCTAACCACACGTTAGGTTTCCCCCTCACCTCTTCCTACCTCTGCTAGCATAAACAATTCACAATCAATGCATATTTTCCTCAAAAGGTTGTGGTCTTGAATGCCAACAAGGGCCGGCACACAGCAAGCCAGTTTATCTTGGCCTCGTATGAACATGCCTGCGCTTCAGAAGGAGGGGATTTTTGTAATTGAAAAAAGACACTCCTGATTTAAAGTTGAACATGTCCTGTGGCTGCACTGCATTCTGGTCTTTCAAGGTTTCAGAGACTCTGGTATATCTGCTTGATTTATTCCTTTGGATACTAAATATTAAACCTGGGGTTGATAATAAACCTTTCACTTACTGTTGATGTTTCAGATAGATGCAAACAAGACTAATGGCAATGTTAACTTTCTGCTGTTTGGCAGGAAATGTTTAATGTCAGAGTTTAGAGTTCCATCTGAGATTACCAAGTAAGCATGCTAACATCAGCTCGAAAGTGAAGACAAAGTGCAGCTGAGGCCAATAGGAATGTCATTAATTTAACAGGTATTTAGTCATAAACTAAAGTATTGTATACATAAATGTCTTCACCAAATTTCATGACAATTTATCCAATAAGTGTTGAGATATTTCAGTCTGGACAAAAGTGGTGGACTGATCAGCACCGCCATCCCTAGAGCCAAATGTGTTGCTATTGCCCTCTATTGCAGCTGCATTGGAGATATATTGCCAGCATAGGGCCAATATAATATAATTTTTTTTTTTAAATCAACAAGAACTAACTAATTGCAATGTTGTGTAAAAGTGATTTTCCTGTTTCTGGTGAAAGTAAAACTGTACAAATAGAAATACTTCCCAAAGCATAGTCACATTGAGTGGAAACATCCACTTATTAGGTCTGCGCGACAGTGAGCAGAGTAACACCACCTCCTCTCTGCAGCCCTGGCTGATAGAGTGTGGAGTCTCCCAGTCTAGGAGGCTGAGTCATGGAAATACTGTGCCAAAGGCATGAAAACCTCAGAGCTTCACTGTAGACTGTGACAGCCTGCAGTGTTTAATTATTTGGACAGATGAACACGGGAAGCTCTCTCCATCACCTTTACAGGATTTACAGGATAAGTCTGGCGATCTATATTTGTTTTACTGTCAACAAATCCATGAAAAGACCAAAACCAACAATGAACTGATTCTAGTGACAAACCTGTCTGTGCAGCTAAAATCTGATAGCTTACTCTCTGTGCCATAGACCTCAATTATTTTCCAAAATATAAAACCACATTACATTTGCACCGTGTGACATGTTCCTTCATAAAAATTAACTCTGGGTGTTCCAATATCCATACTACCATCCTATTTAATATGCCAGAAAAAGATTTGGTTTGTACCAATACATAGTAGCATATGTCAAATTCTGCATGCCATAAAAGCATCCAGTAGCATTTTGCAGTATGCAAGCAAACATGCTTTTCTGACCCACAATCCTCTGCACAGCGTGAGCAAGAGGGTAAAGGTTTAAGGCACAATTTTATTTATAAATTTTACTTTGTAAGGGCATCTGCAGTATGTACTGAAAGGAAGTATGCCATTTGGAACATCGGTCACTGTCAATCCCACATAAAACATAACTTCCTGCTGCTGTATACTCACTAGCATGTCTGATATGTATTGATATGCAGCTGAGTGTTTTCAATCACTCTGGCTGATTAGACTTTCAGTCAGGTTGAAGCTGGGTGGAATAATAATGGGAATCACTTACTGTCCCCAAACTTTCAACACCAATAAGAGTGGTAACGATAGGGTGAGTTGTCCCGCTTTAGCAGACGCAACAAAACTAAACTAACAGAAGAGCGAGGGAGATGCAAACCAAGTCTTGTTTGTAGAGAAGGGGGCTAATTACACGTCATAAGTAAAAACACCTGTGTGGATGGTCTATGTATGTGTAGGGGATTAAAATGACATTTTTTGACCAGTTAGTCATATCTTGCACTGCACTGTATTTTTTTTTCAAATTCATTTTATCTTTTTATTAAATCTTATTCAAGTGTATTTTTATATTCCCTTGACCGATGGCTTTTTAATGCCTCATAAAGAAGCACTTGTTGAAAGGTGCTATACAAATAAACTTGCCTAAAGAGTCTACAGCTAACGGCTTTGTGTAGCTATACTTTGGCTCAACAGTGCTTTGAGCTAACTAGCTAGGTGCTAGCATCAGCATGCTAACATGCTCACAATTACAATGTAAAGCAGATATCATATTTACCATGGTCACCAAAAGTAATCATGTTAGCACGCTAACGCCATCGGATTGATGAGATTTCAGTATTGACAGAAATTGGTGGACCAACGGATGGCATTGCCATCCATAGAGTCAGCCAGCATGGCTAAAAACTACAGTGCCAGTTCATTTTAAGAAATTACTGAGCCTCTTTTGAAAATGAAACGGTGAGTGACCCATTTTTAACAATTCAGTAGGAACGAATGGGCTTGGGGAAGTGTGTGAGAAGGACCCACAGGCTTTTGGTCTTTTCATAGGATTTACTGACATTAAGAAAAATATTGAATAATGGCACCCTTATCCTTTAGAGCCAGACAGTCGCAATTTCATTTTAGTTTCCTCATTTGCTTCACCAAAGCACCTTTCTTTTGAGGTTCACACAACACAATAGGCTATACAGAATGCACACAGGACAAACACAAAAGCTTTTCATCACATGCGAAAAAGACAAAAGACTACAAAAAAAACCAACATGTTTTCAGTTGATCAAGACATCACATTATCTATCACCTGTGGTAGACTCTGATAGCAGAACCATTCACACACACACACACACACACACACACACACAATATTAAATCAGAACAGTAGTGTTTTTAAGCTCAAAGAGTGCTGTGAATAACTGAAGATTTCTAAGGGCAAAATAGAGTGATGCCTTTATTTACCTTGGCACACTGTCTGCCTTGATTCAGCTGCTGCAGAATAAAACATAAAAAGGAATAATTTTAAAATGTATAAAGAAAGAAAGAAACAAGATTAAAGGAAAGAGGAAACAGAGAGAGAGAGAGAGAGAGAGAAAGAGTGGCAGAAGCATAAAAAGGCAGATCTTCATTGAGATGGAATTTGCTTTGTCAACATCAACCTGACTAATGGTTAGGGGAGCTGCCCTGATGAAGCTTCAAGGCCTGCAGATGTCTGGTGATTGCACCTTTTCATTTAGGATTCCATCCTAATGTCTGATGCCTGATGTCTTCTTTCATGTTGGGTTGAAACTTTTTTTTTTTTTTTTAAAGAGGATTCGCCTCCATAACAACAGCTCTCTAAGACTCAGTGGTAGTTTGCCCTGCTGCACCAATAAACATCAATCACAATTCCACCTCTAGACAACGCAGCCAGACAGCAATACACATGTAATAGGAGCTTCTCCTGCTGGATATCTCCCAAAACACTCTTTTAGGAGGCTTTGGCACTCCAAATGGCTTCTGGGCTCTGAATCACTGCTAACAATCTGTTTTAAAAAGAGGATTGATTGTGCATTTGTAGGCGCCAACCTAAACAATTCAGTATTTACCAGTTCTACTGACTCCATCTCCTATTCTCCATACGTTTACCGTTCTGTCCATGGAGCCAGTTGCAATCCACGGCATGGTGGGAGACAGAGCAACAGCCGTCACGTACCTGTGAGGGAGGAGGAAAACGAGCAGAAATGTTTAGGGTGTGTATGACTAAAACTGACACAGGAAGAGAACAGCTTTAAAAGTTGGGTACTCTCTACCCTTGAAAAAAATCCAGTCTTAGATCATACAGTATCTTGAATCCTTTCAAGCACTTCAAAGCACTCTGCTGGTGCCTACCTGCAGTGCCACTTCAATGACTGTCTGGAAAGCAGCGCTGGAGAATATGATATTGCATCACTGCACCCAGTGCTTCTGGGAAAAACTAATCATGCAAAAATCACACGTTTGGATTTGAAGCACTGGGACTCCCATTCTGCTGTTTGTCTGATAGCTGCAAAGATTGCGCAGCGGCGGGAGGTCAGGTTATTTTACCTGCTGTGCTGTTTCAAAGTGTAGAGCAGGGTTCCCAGGTTCTGTAAACACATTACAAACAAACATGGACAAAACAGGAATTTTTGGCATCTCTGTGTTTACAGCAGCTGTGATTTATTGTTAGGAATCTCCTCAGCCACAGCTGACTGAAGCAGTAAAGCTAAACAAAAAATACCTACATTTTAAAGTGTTTTTTTGTGCTTTACTTACCGCATCATATATTGCAACACTTTTATCCACTGAACTGTTGAATAATTAGAGAGTAAACAAAGTAATTTGCAGAATTCATATGCATGCATTTTAGAATAATAATAAAAGAAAAATATAATAATAATAATAATACACAATTTGTCAAACAAAAACACACATATTAGTCAAATTGCTACAAAGTGCTACAGAGCACAGATGAACCATACTGAGGCCAGAAACAGCAGAAGGACCCAAACAGAAGCTTAAACACAACAAAATACACTCCTCCTGTGGCTGACTGATGGAACAGCAGGATCAGAGCTCAGCAGTGGCATCTGCTGTTTACAGCACAGAAACAAAAGGGACAGTTTAAACATGAAGGAGAGATTCATTTAAACTTAATTTGTCCCAAATGAGCAACTGGTTTCACAGCAAATTAATAAAATTTAAAATAAAAATTAATAAAACAAATATGAAACTTCAGCCTGACAGGCATAAAAGTCAATATTCACTTGCCAACACAGGAGGTGTTTATTAGTGCTGCTCACACATGCGAAGACAAGAAGTGCTGATTTATGTGCGTGCATCTTACCCATAGACTGTATAGTCTTACCCCGACACGACCAGCTCTCCATCAGAAGAGAAGGCACATGACAGAACTGGAGCCGTCTGGCTGGCGAGAGTGTGAAGCAGCTTCATGACACAGGCTGAAGGTCAACACACACACACACACACACACACACACACACACACACACACACACACACACGGTGTGTGTCAAAATAAAATGATGTGTGTTTGTTCAGCTACCGTCTTTTATTTATTTGTCCATAAATTGAGAGAAAATATGAAAAATTCAGTCTCTGACACACACACACTTACTTCAAAGTGCATCTTCGTCTGTATCAGTTCAGTCGCCCCCCCGCCCGCGGTCAAAACTTTTTGTCAATAACTGTCTTTCCTCTTGCTGGCTTGCAGCTCTGCCACCTGCTGACAGCTGCTTGGAAACAAAATCTTTTCTTTTTTTGACAACAAACCTGAGATATTCACAGCCTAAGACACAAAGGCACTTCTGAGTACAGTGCAAAAATTCACTATGTAGTAATTCTGTGTGTCAAACTAATCAGCCTGTGGCAGCATTTAAATTATCAGCCTGTAAACACACATGTATTAAATTAAACCTCCCTCTTCTCCATTAGAGCAGAAATACTGTTTTCAGACTCTGCAGGACGCTAAGTTGTTATTTGTATGCATATTCATGACGTGACGTGAAATGGAAATGAACAAAAACGCATTATTAAACCTGACGCAAGTGAATGGTACATCAAAATAAAAAACAATGCAACGTGTGATCGAGAGGCATCAACATGTGCTGCTGAGTGAAGCAAAACTGTCAACATAAAAGATTTGATTCAGAGCCACCAAACAGACTTATGGAGCTATAAAAATATAGGGGCTGCTACAGTAAACAGTAAAGTAAGAAGGGACTAGAAAAACCACACAATGATCCCAGCTTCAGAATTGGCCCCCTGCTTCCCTCAACTGTCTACACTTAAATGTCTTTCTCATAAAACGGTGGAAGAGGGGTTCAAGCATGCAATCCCTTAGCAAAGACAAGATAAATGCACATTTCAGAGCGCCACAGAGAAACAGTATCTGAAAAATGACATTTTGACAAAATGAAACTGAGCTGCTCACAGATGAAAAATCTCCAGGCACCGCAGCGGGTCACCATGAGGGATACGTCGCATCCTCCCCAGAAACGGCCATTACCATGGCAACACATCTTAGGAACTAACAACATAGCGTGTTCACACACTAAGAGGAATACAGTCTGTAGGTAGGTTACGCAATCTTTGACCATGCACAAAATGTTCTTGTTCTGCTGTCGAGATATAAATGTCACAGTGGATATATGCACCTGATTCCCTCTTCTCCACACACACACTCTGCTTACACCTCTCACACCTCTTCTGAACGTCTTAAAGTGATCCATTATTAATGAGTCAGTCTGCAGCTGATTTATTCCACACGCTGATAAAATTATTTTATTCTGCAGAGAGATTTCAAGGTTAAAGCAGTCAGCAGGCTCTCTCTCCCTCTCTCATGGGTGATGGAGTGAGAGCGCTTTCAGTTGAGGAGGAGGTGGGTGGGTCTGCCTACCTGGTCCCTCACGCTGGGAAACGATCCATATTTTCAGCTGGCTGTCCTGGCCACAGGAGGCCAGTCGAAACTCCACACAGCAGCCGCCTGCAGAACAAAAACAGCCACATTTCCTCTTCCTGAATGTTCACACTCGACTGAATTTAATAACAAACGAAGACTGACGGCCTGTTTGTGAACTGCAAATTTCCACATGAGAGAAAACAGAACCAGCAAACGTTTGGTATTTTGCTTGATAAATGAAATAAATATTAAATCAGTTGATTGATTTTGCATCAATTGAAAATCATATAAGCACAAGTTGCGTTTACGATGTCATTTCTTCCATTGCTCTTAACACTGCAACCAAAATTCAATTCACCTACCAAACTATCTGCCTGTTTAGTCACCACTAGTGATCCACGGATATAAGTGAAAGCATGTTTGACCCTTCAAATACTAAGAACTCACCAACTTTTAACTGGTCTGTGAAGCTGCAGCAGGTGACTCCCAGGTCATGGGCGTCCTTCTCAGCATGCAGGAGACAGACGTCCACGTCCCAGAGTTTGAGGTCTCCATAGGTGCAGCCGGTCACGAACATCTGGCCACAGGGAGAGAAGCAGCAGGCCACAACACTGGCCTCGCTCACTGCGCTGCAGCTGTGATAGACAACGTTAGATAGTTAGTTACAGCTTGGGCTAGACTGAAGAGCAAGGTTTACCAGAGAGGGTGTAAAATAAACGAGGAAACCACTGTTTCATTATTTCTTATATAAGAAGTCTTTTTCTTCGGTCAACTTCTGTTGTTTTTAAATATGCTCTATAAATAAACTAAGTTGGATGAGGCAGTGGAGACACTGGCTGAGTTTAATGAGATTAATTTAAACCACCTGAGAGTTTTAATTAGAGACACAGCAGGCCTGAGGGTGCCTGTAAAAGCTGTGTCAGATCACAGAAATCACATAATGTCTTGTGGAATCTGAGGATTAAAAGACAAATTGTTCAAAAATGATCGTCACAAAATGTGTTATGGAGTCTGTTGCTGCTGTCAATAAGTGCTTCTCTAGCTGAGCTGTGCTCTTTGATCTTCATTAGTCCCACATGTCTCTGTTGTTAAACCCGACTTAATGTAGTCCTGAGGTAACCCTAATCTAAACCTAACAAACACTATTTTCTCTCACAGTTAGAAACATTTTTGTTATTTCTTCCTTTGAGTTTTCCCACTGGTTTAAAGAGGGCGTGGCTCTGGTGAAATCATGCGATGTCACATATTTCTATGCATCAAATCTGTTTTGCAATACAAGAATCAGGACAGAACCTGACAGCCGACTGTTTGGTGACGAAGGCCACAAGATGTGGATCCACGCTGTTTACAACAAAGTACATGGAACTTTGTAAATAGAAGTTTTTGTCAAACTTCCAATTTCAAGAATGAACCTTTAAGCTCAAGTTGTGGGGTTGTTATTTCTATCTGATATCTACTTGGACTGAACCCCACACTTGAGCTGAAACAATTAGAAAGTTGATTAGCTGAAATTTATTTGGCCGGTATGTTTAATCGACGAAGTCATTTTTCAAACATTTGCTGGTTATAGGTTCTCACACGGGATTTATTTGTGTATATTTATTCATAATATGTTAAAGCAAACTGATGATCTTTGCTCAGTTTCTACCACCAGCTATGAACTTTGGCTCAGAGAAATTATATGTGCCATTTTTTATTGTTTTCTGACATTGTATAGGCTACACTAATAGTAATTAATGTCAAAGCCCACACTCACATTAATAAATAGGCTAATAACTAAGAACTTGCTTTGAAAATTGCTTACAGTAGTGATGAATGTTTGAAGAGAAATACTTGAGAAAGGAGCTTTGAAATGTCACTTTAAGGCGGGAACTATGCAGGAATCTGACTGTTAGACACATGCAGCTCACCGACCCTGGGTCACACCGTACCTGCGCAGTGTCTTGGAGGGGAAGTCCCAGAGGGCCACGGTACCATCACAGGCCCCTGCCAGCAGGAGGGAGGAGTCGGGTGCCAGCGCGCACACTCGGAGCGGACTGCGGACCGGGTGCTGCAGCGCCGCGGCCGGCTCACCTGTCTCCGAGCACCACACGATGGCGGACCCATCTGTGGAGCAGCTGAGCAGGTACCTGCCACACGAGCTGAAGCGGCAGCAGTGAACCCCGTAGCCGTGGCCCGACAGAGGAGAGAAGGGAAGCTCCGAGAAGTCAGCGGTGTTATAAACTCTCAGAGTCTTGTCACCGGAGGAGGTCGCCAGGAGAGATGGAGAGAAGGCACAGCAGCTGACCTCGTCCGTGTGGTGTCGAAGAGTGCAAATTACTGACACCATCTTGTTTGTTAGGCACTGCCGGGGGAGGGGAGCGGTTTCACTCACAAGGTGGCGCAAAATGCTCAAATAACCGCCTTTGAAACGAACGAGAGGAGTGACACCTGATGGGAAGCTGCGTATCCTGACAGCTTTCTGTCTGTCCCGTGAGGTTTGTCGCTTTTTCTGTATTTGAACGAAACGTTTTAAAAGGCAAACTGTTGCTGCTCGCGTGTCGTGGACAGTTAGCAGACTTAATAGCTGCTGGAAGAGTTATCAGTCATGTGACGCTGTCACTGAGTTACACAATGTTCACACAGTCCAGTCTTTATCTTGTGTTGTCAGTGTAAAGTATGTCGACTAAACAAACAAATCAAATAAGCAGATTTATTATAATTTACTTTAAAATAAAGACAATATAAATATATCCTGCAAGTCCGGCATTCAAACCATTACTAAGTAGGTATTCTAAGTACTCATAATAAATCCAGCAGGGTAGTGTCTACATTATTGGATTATAATTATTTACGAATTAATGTGAAAGCAGCCTTTTATGTTGTAGCAGCAAGTTTTATGTTTAACAATAATTCATGCTTGTTGATCATGTTTTGATTAGTTAAAAGTGCTTAGTAAATATAGCTGTGACATAAATGGTGTCAAGTAACATTTCCCTCTGAAATGGAGTGTAGTATATAGCAACATATACTATATATATAGTATAAAGCAACCAGATATGGAAATACTAAAGTACAAGTACCCCACAATTGTACTTATATACAGTACTTGTACTTTGTCATATTCCACTAGTCGTACTGAATAAAATCAAATAATGCAACTTTTCTCAGACATTTAAGTTTAGTGTTAGACCCAAAACAACCAAATAAAAATCCAATGATTCAGTTTAACTCTGCAGAACTTAATTAATGAGCCTAGGGGAGAAAGTGAGGAAAGTGTTATTTTGAAAAAAAACAGATTTATTTTATCTGTGCCACACACCCAACATTTAAAAATAATATTCCCACAAAAGTCGCTACTCATTTCACAATATTTATAATAAAATACAGTTAAACTTCAAGTGTTCGGTCTTGAGATGTATCCAGTGGACCGTGACACTGTCTTGACTCCCAGTGGGATCAAGGCCCAGACTCTGGCTGAAGGAAATGCTTGGAGATGAAAACACACTATATGCACCACATCAATTCTTTTCAGAGGAAAAGCTCTAAACAGTTTAAACATTTTGTGTAAGGGTTTCCTACGGTATATTGTGCAGGACACACACACACACACACAAAAAAAAAAACACACTTCCATACACTGTTTAGAGGTCAGAGGTCAGGCACTACAATACTGAGACCAGTTTTTTTGTGGATATTCAGCATAGCACAGTATAAGACATTTGGAGTGCTACAATCATCCTTATGCATTAACAATATTTTTTACTGTACTGTGTGTACTGTACACTCTGTACAGGTTAGAAATAAGCAAATAGTGACAGTGATAATTCCTTGTATTTCACACAAAAAACTCAAAGGTAGATGAACAGTAGTACTGCTGGCAGTCAAAAAAACTGTAAACAATATTTCTTTTTGATTGGCTTGTTTAATAGTCCGTAAAACAATATTTAGATTTTTTTTAAAGCTGTGTGCCATTTCCTGCTTTTTCTTAGAAAAGACTGACTGTAACATAAATACTTGAAAATAAATACACAAAGCTAAAGTACTGATGATACAAAAAAAAGCCAATGAATGACCTACCTATGGTGGAAATCTTTGTTTCCCAAATACAACATTGAGACCAGGGGTCAGTGCACTTTCATAAAGAAAACAGTATTGCACTTTAAGATATTAAAGCGTCTTTTCTCAGCAGGAGAATTTGTCATTTCACATTGCACATCAGTGTTATTATAACTTTGTACTGATTTAGTGTCACAGGTAAAGAGAAGGACTCCAATGCTAAAGATGGAGTTTGATATGTAGAGAGTAGCGTGGACAGCCCACGCTGGAATGTTTTTATTCCAGCAGTTCAGTCCATCGTTTGTCAAAATATCTCCTCATGCTGTGGCCGGCCCGTCCAATTTCAGAATCATCTTCATTAAATTTTTCACAGTTCTCAAAAACCAGGTTCACGTCAACGATGAAAGTCTCCAAATTCAAGTACCTGTAATTATTAGAAAAGGGTTTTAAGTTTCATTTACACTGAACAAAATTATAAACGCTACACTTTTGTTTTTGCCCCCATTCATCATGAGCTGAGCTCAAAGATCTAAGACTTTCTCTATGTTCACAAAAGGCCTATTTCTCTCAAATATTGTTCACAAATCTGTCAAAATCTGTGTTAGTGAGCACTCCTTTACCAAGATAATCCATCCACCTCACAGGTGTGACATATCAAGATGCTGATCAGACAGCATGGGTATTGCACAGGTGTGCCTTAGGCTGGCCACAATAAAAGGCCACTCCAAATCAAAAACAGAAAATCCACATAGAAAAGCCTACATAGATCTTTTTAAAAACAAACAGTGACACAAACATACTGGTTGTTGGTGAGCTTTTCTCTGATGGTGGAAAAGTCCATGGGCTTCTTGATGACCTTCCTGTATCCAGGGACTGCTTTCTGGTTGACCGGTGTGAGGAAGGGCCAAGCGTCCTGATGGGCCTCCAGCTCAGCCAGCAGCAGTCTGGAGAGAACAAGTAGCGAACAAAGCTGAGCATTTTGTGCTCCAAATATAATCTCATCCATTCAATCAGTTTCACCTCTTTGAGAACATTTCTGAAACATGGTCTGACCCCCCCTTGATTTTAGGGTTTGGTATGAGGTGAAACGACACGGTAAAATAGATGTTTTGATTATCAGATTCTGCACACTGATTATTGTCTTGTACATGTACCACAGGAGTATTTTTAACAATGAGAAGAGGGGAAAGTAAACTCTGCTAGACGCTTTGCATGCTGTGAGTATGTGTTCATGCGTACCGGCACATCGCCAGCCCATTTATGCTGTTGTCTTTGGCCGTTTTGGCTTTCTTTGCACAGGGGACAGGGCTGTCATGCCTGGACTGGGAGCCGGGCGGGCTGTCGTCTCCTTTCCTCTTCTTGAACTCCTTGGTACCTTTCTTTGGCACGCTGTTGCTGCCGGAAGCCTCCTCTTTGATGAGCTCTCCTACCGCAGATGGCTTACCATTTCGTTTTACCTCACTGCCTTTCTTCCCTCCTCCAGCTGTTCGGCTCTGTTGCTTCCTGCTCCGCGGGAGTTGACCACTTTCCTGAATGACAGAATGCACAGAAGACTGGTGTAGAGACACACAAGACATCATATTCAAATCAGTTCATTGAGTGTGTAAATGTGATACAGCTATGTTATCATTTGACAATTGCATGGTGTGAGGCCCCAGTAGATGTACTGTGATAGTACGATTTTATTAAATAAATGACAAAAGAAGAGAGTCTCAGGGCATGCTGGTGTACCTTCGCTACACAAGTAGGACAAAACCAGTCGCCGTCAGGTACTGTAGTGATCTTCGGTTTATGGCAGTATGTGTGGCAGCCTTTGTCACAGCCATCACAGAGTAAAAGCAGTTCTTCATTATCTCCCTTTTGACAGAGCTGGCAGTGCTGGAAACACCAAACATATGTAGGCTAGTTCAAACTGATATACATCACTATGAACACTAATGATTTATGCAGTTGTGTGCAGCCAGGCATACTGAACGAAGTTGATTTGTTACCGATTGGGCTATTATCAGATATGGTTTGTTGCCTGGTGATGATCGATTGGTTATATTGTAAATTGCTGCTTCTAACACACCTTTACTTTCTTTTTCAGCTTTTGCCGCATGCTGTGCAGATTCGTTGTGTTATCCATGCTTTTTTTTTAAGATGCTTATTCATTTTTAAAGGATCAAATAAATTCAACCACAGTAGTTTTTATGACACTGAATGAGACGCCATGCAACCTTAAAGACTGATCTTCATGAAGAAGGACGTCTTTAGTTTGAGTTATAAATTGGTGCTTAAATGTGTGCAAGATAAAACAATATAAACAAGTCTGTGAGAGGAAGAAATTATTGGTCACTAACCACTTTCATGATTGATCGTTCCCAGGCAATGGATTTCTGCAGCTGCTGAATGCAGAGTGACAACTGAGCTGAGCTGCGGACTTCACAGAGGGCTTTACGCCACAACCTCATCCCTGGAGCCACCTCTTCCTCGCTGCTTAGAGGTCACAGAGAGTAAGACTGTGGTGTAACTGGACAGCATTCACATACAGTCTGTGACATTATCACACTGAATGACCGAAAGTAAAGAAGGAAATAGTCTTTAGTAGGGCTGAACGATTTTGAAAAAAAAATCTGTAATTGCGATTATTTTGACTGATATTGTAATTGTGATATACTATGTGATAATGGGGGTAATCATAATTATCCACATTTTCATTGAAAAACATATTAAAATGAATTATGGTGTGATTTTTGCAAGTATCTGTACCAAACAAAGGTGTTTTCTTAAGTCTGTAGAATATGATGTGTAGGCCAGGACATCTGCAGCACAGCGATATTTAATTTAAAATCACCACATTAGGCCATTTTGCAATGTTGATAAAATTTTGATTAATTGTTCAGCCCTAGTCTTTATTGTTACCCAGAGTGAGAAGTTAGGACTCTCTAGAATAAATGTGGGATGAACATTCACCATCACCACTAGAGGATGGTGCAGGAACATGTACAGTGACATTATCCAGTCTGATCTGAAAAGTTGTACTTTTGGGTCTCTTCCTTTCCTACCTTCGCTCGATGTTCCTCTCCAGCTCTGCCAGCCTGGTGACCGCTATATCAAGCGGATTGTTGGTCCGACGCACCACGGTGCCAGGAACTTCCTCCTGGCTGGTTTCTCTCGGTCCCTTCTTCTGTGGAACAGGGGAAGAGAAGAGCTTGTGCTCATGATAGACCAGATCCTCCCTCTCTGACTGGGGCTCGGGATGCATCCAGCCCTGAGGGACATAGTAAAATACAGCCAATGCAACAGGGTATGCAGTAATTAACAGTGAGATAAAGGGAGGACACGAGACCCTAACCAAGCATATACAGGTGAATTAAAGAGTGGATGAGTAGAAGAGTATTACCTTGACTTGCAGGCCGGCAGAAATGACTTTCCTCTCCAGACCCTCTACCTGCTGCAGCAGGCTGATGTCCACCTCCATGGCCTGCTCCTCAACACACCAACTCTCTACTGTCTCCTCACTCACCTCCTGCTTCTCCAGCTCTGCCACATCAATCACTGCAATAACAGATACATACATACAAAAATGACCTCAAACTACTGTCTACTGAAAGCATTCTCATTAACAAAAGATCAAATAACAATACTTTCATATTACATCGCATGTCTGTTGAATCTTGACTTAAAGAGAGCAGTGGAAATGGGGACCAACCATCTTTGCTGTTGGCGCAGAGCTGGGTCATATATTCCATATATTTTTGGAGCTGTTTTTGCAAGACCTTCTCTCTGGTGCCTCGGCTATGGAGGGCCTTGACCAGACTGTGCAGTTCCTCCATGTCTGACACCCTCCACCAGCCACACAGCATGTCTGCCAACACACACGCATACATTTAAAAACTCATGTTGCATAACTGTTTAATTTTAGCAACACATGGAAACTGTGTAACTGACTGACAGTCATCACAGCATGTATTCCAGTGCTGTCTGGGCAGTGAATATCTTTAGTCCAGCGTATTTCACTTGTGCGTACTGGCAGCGAGCCATTCTTACCCTCAGGGATAGGCTGAGGACTAGGGTAGTCCTGGGTCTTAGCCACCTCCACAGCGGGGAATGAGGCACAAGCAGGCTTGTCACTCAGGGGTTCTGGGGTCTCACTCTTGTTGACAGAGTTGTTATTTGCCAGGAAGAAGACCCTGCTGCCATTACCCTCTGCATGCTGGGAGGCCAGATCCAGTATGGGGGGTAGAAAAGTACCACAGAATGGCAGGCTGGGACTTATCGCTGCACTGGACATGTCACACAGCGTCAGTCTGCTTTGATGAATGCCAGACTTTACTTGCTAAGAGGAAAAATACACACACTTTAAAATTATGATCATAATGACGACAATTTTATTTCACTACCACATGTATAACATATAAGGCAACACAGTGGTAGCACTTTGTGCATTTGCATCATGAGAAAATTGACATGTAATATAGAATAAGACTTGCAACATGTGACAGTGTTCTAAGACAGAAATAGCATTACGGTTATCCACCGACCTGAAGGACAGACGACTGCATGTTATTGATCCCAGCAGGAGTACCGGAGCTGACTGTGGCTAGGGGATTAGGGGAGAGGGAGGAGGGGGATTTGGTGCAGATGGTCTGTAGAGGAGAGGAGGCGGCTGGGGGACTGGAGCCAGAGGTGACCGAGGACTCGTCACAAGGAGAGCGAGGCAAGAGGCTAAACCACTGGTTGCTCTTTTCAGTCAGAATCTTGGAGAGCTGCTCGTCATGAATGATAGGCAGGGGGCTGCAGGTTATCCAGGGACTGCTTTTGAGGGGGGGGGCGCTAAGCAGAGATGGCACTGAAGTGTCTGTTTTATCCATCTGTCCCTGTTGGGTAGTGGCTGTCTGAGAGGTGGGATATGAGGGATAAGATGTGGTGGTGGGGACTCTAGCAGAATGACTCTTATGAGAATTGATATCTGAATCTTGAGCCATTTTGGCCACTTCAAGGAGTTTGCTGAGCTTAGAGAAGGACCCGGGTTTCTGGAGGAAGAGATTGAGGCTGTCTTTGTCCTGCTGGATCTCTGGTGTGGATGTATCACCGTCTGTGCTCTGTACTGGGCTGGAGACCACCGGCTTCTTTGTCTCTACCAGCTGCTCTTCTTTTACCCTGATCAACTGAGCAACCCTCTGTCTCGTCTTCTCTTTCTCCACCTCTTCATAACCTGAGTAACATGAAAAGGTTGGTGTCAGCTCAGGCAAAGTGCACAAAAAAACATTAAACATTTATGTCCTGTAGGTTGTGAACAGGGAAAAAAGTGACTAAAATCTGAGCTTATCAGTTTCGGTTTGCACCTTCACCACTCTCCATGCCTTCAACAAAGATGCCACCACACTGCGGGAGGACCCAGTAACGTCTCTTGTAGCGGTCCTGGCCAATCACCATGGAGCGCAGCGAGTGAGATGAGTCAAATATCTTCCGTCTGATTTGACACTGTTGCTAAAAGAAACAGAAATACATTTATTAAATGTATTGATGAGCTGATCCTGAGAGAGAAAATAGTGTCTCATAGGGTTTAATTTACCTTGTATGTTTTCTCTATCTGTTTCTCCAGCTCCTCCATACTGGCCGAGTGTACACTGTTGTCCTAGATGAAAAGATCTCATTAGTGCGAGGCCAATGGACAGGCTGACATTTAATATAACAAACACTGATTTAACTGCCGGCTCCTGCAAAAACATCATGCTGTCACTGACCTCTTCTTCACATATCTCTGCTTTCTTCCCCTTCTTTCCCCCGGATTCTTCCTCCTCTTCATCGTCCTCATCTCCTTGGTCTTCACTGTCGTCGTCCTCCTCCTCTTCCTCCTCGCTGTCACCTTCTTTCCTCTTGCATTTGTTTCTAGGAGTGGGGATGACAAAGGTGTGGTTGTCCTCTCCCCCCACGCTGCTGTCTCTCTTCCCTGTTTTCTTGGCATGGATGCTCCTCAGTCTTTAGAGAAAAAAATGGACAGTCAGTTTGTAGAGTACACGTTTGTGTGCAATTCAGACATGTTCACTAACAAAATGTTCAAGTGTAAGCACAGAATCTCCCAATAACAGCTTAGATGATGCATATACTCACTTGCGAAGCTTTCCCTCGACAACCCACTTATCCTTCCTCAGGTTGGTCATGTGATCTATGTTTTTATCGATCTCACTGCAAAGTATCAGACAATATTGGAGCAGATGTTTCTTTGACCTTTTTTGTATAATAAAAAGAGCATGATGTGATTGCGCCACACAGCAGTGTGCACCAGATGCGTTTCAAAGTGTTAATGAATCAGTGTTAATAAAAAATGTATGACACGTAGTTTGATGCAATCTTGTGAAACTGTCCATCAGACCAAGATTTGTCATATTCTTTTTGATACTTCTATTATTCTATGAAAATTTAAGCCTCCATGAATAAAACAAGCCAATACTTTCCACTCTCAGGCACAGAGATTAACTTGTTTGCTTCAAGCACATAAGGAACACTTGTTTATAGAGTGCTCTGAATCATTTTCACAGGCTAACCATTCTTTTTTTAATACAAGTGTATTGAAGCCTTAAAATCAACAGGAATTTTTTAGCAGTAGTTTAGTTTCCTATGAATAGTCCATTAACATTTCTGCCATACAAAAAACTGAGTTTGCTTTATTTGTTAAATACCTAAATTAAAAGACAGAATGACAAAGAATGCAGGACCCTCACCTGATCACAGCCTTGCTGCAGCACAGTTCATTCACCAGAAATGCTAGCATGGAGGCCTTCTGTGACGGGCTGTGGGCCTGAAAGGCCTTGGTCCTGAGGCTGAGGGCTAGAGCAGCCAGCTCTGTCTGCTCACAGTGACCCGCCATGTAGATCTGCAGGATCTCAGACACATTGTCCCGGTTGATCCCCACATTAGTCAGGTGGTCACCCAAGGCTGTCTTATTCTGAAAGAAAAATAATGCGTTTTAAAAATTTTGTCACAGTATTAAACAAACCCTTCATTTTTTACCAACTCAGTTAAAACCAGAATTCCTTTTTATATACACTATAACCCAAGAGAGCCGAGCGCAGGTGAAGGGTAGAGCCAATAAAAGGGCAATGGGAGTAAAACCAATGGGAGTAAAACACTTTCCTTTTGAGCAATTATCTCTTCGATAAGTAAAGTAAGCAGTGTTAAGTGCTTAAGTTGCCCATGGGAAATGTCTGGGACACATCTAGGATGTGCAAATTATTATGAAACATGCTTCCTGTTTTAGTTGACAGTCTTGTCAGTATATGCACATCTCACTCAATGTATAGACATCCTGAGAAAGGCTTTTAATATGAAAAGATGTAATAATGTAAAATCACGTATCATGACCTGATTACACTGTACAGCACAGCATGAATAAATGGCCAGGGGGAATGAATTTACACAGATAAAAATGAATAATTTAAAATGTGTATGTGTATGAAACGCTCTAAAAACACTCCTTAACAGACTTTTATTTTTCAATAACTGAAGCAGTGAAAACTGATTTTTGTACAGTAGTTACGTGAATCAATCTATTTTAATGGGCACATAGTAGCAGGTGTGTGCACGTTTCCTCAAAATTTGCGACATCTTTTGCATTGTGCTGTGTGATGGAACTGCACATTTTCGAGTAGCCTTTTATTGTGGCCAGTCTAAGGCACACCTGTGCAATACTAATGCTGTCTGATCAGCATCTTGATATGCCACACCTGTGAGGTGGGTGGGTTATCTCGGCAAA